TTTGAGAGAGAAACCCATATTCTGTAGTTTAGGATAGATGGCCTTCTCCCAAGAGGACTGAAAATTGTAAGGCTAAATCCTTCAGGTTGTATGTCAATTTTAACCAATAATTGATGGAGACCAGGCTTACCCTGGCTTCCACCTTAACCAAACCCGACTCAAGATGTAGATTGGCACTGAACACACAGCTAGGTACCTGAAATAAAGATCTCAAAAATTTTAATTGGACTTTTTCTAAAGGAGAAAAATAGGTAGAAGAAGGTAAAGTACTGTGGCTAAGATCAAGTTTAGTGAATACTATTTAAATTATTTGTCCCCATTGCATTTTAAAGGCATTTTGTAGTATCTAAATTATCAGGCAGCATTAAAGGTGGATCTAGACAAGAATATTCCATTTTTTATATGGATGGATATTAGGAAACAAGGGCTTTTACCGGCCAGATGCTAAGGACACCATTTTCAATATTGTTAGTCAACATTAGCACAGTTAATAATTCATGCCAGGAGATGGACCATGTTGGAAGAGTTTGGAAGGAGGAGTCCTTTTTTGACCTATCTAGCAGACCTGTCTAATTAAACCTTGGGGCAGAAAGCATATAAAATCTCTTTTAAAAGACAGCTAGGCATCAAGAGTCAAAAGAAGTCCAGTTTTTTTGTTGTTGTTCAGTCGCACAGTCGAGTCTGACTCTTCGTGACCCCATGGACCACATCACGCCAGGCCCTCCTGTCTTCTGCCATTCTCTGGAGTTTGCTCAATTTCATTTTTGTTGCATCGGTAACACTGTCTAACCATCTCATCCTTTGCTGTCCCCTTCTTCTGGTACCTTCAATCTTTCCCAGCATCAGAGTCTTCTCCAGTGAGTGCTCCCTTCTCATTTGGTAGCCAAAGTATATGAGCTTCAGCTTCAGTATCTGTCCTTCCAGGGAACAGTCAGGTTTGATTTCCTTTAGGGTTGACTGATTTGATCTCCTTGAAGTCCTTTTTACTATTCAGTTAAGAAAATGGTCATAATATAATCATGAAATACAGGGATTTATAGCCATTCTATCCCTTGCCGGTAGGTAGACAGACAGACAGACAGACAGACATAGATATAGATATATAGGATTGGGCACTTATAATTATAGTACTGTTTATCTACAACTACTACATGTGTTCCATGAAACTGTGGGCCAAATTACATGTTACATCTGCCACATGAATGCCATGGGGACTTACAGCTATATAACATATTACTCTGCTTCTGAATGGCCTATGGGCCATAATAAAGACTAACTGATATTGGGAGTTCAGTTTAGACATGCCACATGGGCCCAGTCCTGGGTGGATACACGGCACAGAGGAAAGGGGGCTATTGTCTTCCTGTTCATACCATTTTCTGATCCAAATGTCATTGGGGGAAATTCTGAGTAGGAAAGATGTTCTGGGTAGGAAAAATGGCACAGTTGGGAAGCAAAAGCCCCTTTTCCCTCGCACAGAGGACCTGACCAGCATTGGGACTCTGCAGTTCTTCTAAATTGAGATCCTTTAGGGAACTAGCATCTAGTGCAGAGGTGTCGAACTCATTTGTTACGAGAGCCAGATCTTACATAAATGTCACTTTGTTGGGTTGGTATAAAATGTATGTGTGCTATAAAATGTAACAGGAAGTACCAGAGATACAAACTTTATAAAGGTGATTTCAAATGTCGAATGGCAATAGCAGGTGAATGACAATAGCAGGCTTGATTAGATTAGGTGTGATATGCAGAGGGGTAGTAGGCATGGAGATACTGTGTTGGTAATGAGACAGAAAACCTAGGTCTCAATTCCATCCAGGAGGATTCAATCTAGGAGGATACAAAGAATAAACGGACATAAGTCTGACAGTAGAAACCACAACATTCACTTGCTTACCTAAGAGTAGCAGTGCCCTTACAAAGGAATTTCAAAGGGAGATTAGAAAGACAGACTGCTGAATTGCAATTGATAATGAAGCTCAAGACAATGCATCCTTCTGGACTGAATTAAGAGCTAGTTTTCCTGTCTCATTACCAATGTGTGCTATTATCATTTGGCATCTGAAATCACTCCACTCTATATAAGGACCAATCCACATGTTCTAATTCCTAATCAGGGTCTTTTTGAAAGAGAATAAATCCAGATAGAAACAGAGAAATCCAATCTTTTTTAAAAAAAAACTTTTCAGAATGTCATAATAATTTCCTCGATGTACACTGTGCTTGTTAGAAGAATCCACCCACCCACCCAAGAAGTGTGCTTGCACACAAAAAGCTGATACCTGGAATAAAACGTTGTTGGTCTTAAAGCTCCCATGGGACTCCAATTTTGTTTTTTCTCTCACACTTTCCTCCTCCCCCAGAGAAGGAAGCAGAAGCATGTGTGTGTGAGAGAGAGGCTTGCTTCTGCATCTCTCCAGCATGAAGCAGCCACGAAGTTCTGTGTGTGTGAATGAGAAGGGGGGGAGGCAAGCAGCAGGAAGCAGGAAGCAAACAGCCACTGAGGGAGCTGGGGGGGGGAAGTAAGCTAGGGTGTGGCTACAGTAGCAGCCCTGAAAAGAAAGCAGGAGAAGGAAGTTGCTTGGGGGCCGGTTCTGAGCCCTGCGTGGGCCAGATACAGCCCATGGGCCGCACGTTTTTTTGTTTTTTGTTTTTTATACCCCCCTAAGGGGATGTTTTTATTGCATTTTCTAATAACTACATACTAAAAACTACAAACAGAAAATCCAGGAAAGGGGAACTACAACTATGGAGAAAGTAAAGAAAACCCTCTAAAAACCCAAGAGATGATGATCATACATACGTTTACAAATTTACCTTTAAACTTAAACACAGGTTAACTTTCACTGAAAATGATCATCTATCTAATTAAACATAGCCGAGAGAGATCTACGCAGCATCAAAGAAAAAGCCTGCAATTGGCCATTCCGGCCAGACGGTGGCAGTGGTGCACTGCGACTGAGAAAAATGCTGATGACATCAAGCGACGCCGACTAAAGAATGCTGCCGGAACACGTCTGATGCTTACAGCTGACCAAACTCCCTGTCGACTGCGAAGTGTGTGTGATTAAAAATGATATATGTTGTCCTCCCTTACCCCCATCATTGTTAGTCCCGTGCAATGCTCCCTCTAAGCTGTGGAGTCCTGTGAGCAAAAATTCTACTTTGTGAGCTTCTGACATTAAAGTTGTGAGCAGGTGATTCGGCTACTGAATAACTTAGTTTGCTCTGGAGCCATCCTTCCTGAGCTAAGACAAAACCATGTGAGCCAGAGGCTAAAAAACTGTGAGCTAGCTCACACTAACTCAGAGGGAACACTGGTCCCGTGTCAATACATGAGTAACTGTAAATCGCTCAGAAGGTCTGGGAGCACCCCCCCCCCCTCACCGGCTTTTCCGCCGGGGGGGAGCTCTCTAGCACCCCATGGCTGGGAGCCCTTCCCCCGGGCTCCTAGAGTGGCGCGGACAATCGCGCCGCCTCCCAGCCATGGGCGCTGGCAGACTTCTCCCGGAAGTCCAGGAGAAAGCTACTGCCATAGCGATCGCCAAAACCAGAAACCTCCGGGACCACACATTTGACACCCCTGATCTAATGTCCTGCTGCAAGTCCTATGATGATGGGCAGAGATTCTAAACTGGCAGACTTCTCCCGGAAGTCCAGGAGAAAGCTACTGCCATAGCGATCGCCAAAACCAGAAACCTCCGGGACCACACATTTGACACCCCTGATCTAATGTCCTGCTGCAAGTCCTATGATGATGGGCAGAGATTCTAAAGTGCTCCAGGCAGAGATCTTTCAAATCACCTAGTATGTGATTCTTTTAACTGCACTGAGCCTGGGACTTTTTACATACAAAGCAGATGCTCTCCCACTGACCCACAGTTTCACCATTTAGATAATTAAGCCAAACATCAAGAGACGTGTCTAAATCTTTTTAAATGCAATTGGTTTTACACAGAATGTTCAGAAAGGTTATGTTACTGCCAAATGTGCATTACTGACAGCAAAGAAAATGAACTTGATATGAAAGAGTACTATATTATATGTTGTGGAAATATTCTGGCACCAGCAGCAGCAACATGAACTACATTTGGATATTAATGCAAACATTACATGTAACTGTCAAATGAAAAGAACTGAAACAGACAAGCTCCCAGCACATATATGGACTCTTGAAAAACTGTCATAAAATAGACAGGATGTTGCTTTTCCAGTTCTTCCCATACTTTCAGAAAGAAATCCAGCTACTGATATCATTTTGACATCAAAAAGTCGAATCTCCACTCAATGACACACCAATGGCACACAACAAAGAAAATGAGTCATCATTTTTATTCACCATAGATATCAAGGTCCATTATCACAATCTGGAATACTTATGCTTAGAACACTTAAGAAATTAGTGACTATATCAGATGTATCAATAGCATACATTATAATACACAAGTGAGGACAGTTGATCTTTTTAACAATGGACATGTTATATGTACATGTCAGATACCAGGTTCAACTGAGACTCCACATATACATAGGTAAAGACCCTCTTTTCCTTTCATGCCTTTCAGGATAGATTTGAATTATACCCAGTAAATACACCAATTTCATATTCTGAAGCCATCCTTATATATCAACCACATGCAAACTTAATACAATGATTCAATGAATGGCTTGGATTCACCAAAGATTTTTTTGTGTCGGCAAAGGAGGAGGATTTTTGCCTATTTCTCCCTCCTGCTGCAGACCGCCAAGTTCCCTTCCCCCTCCTATCCTGTTCATAAGGTCCCCTTCAACCAGAAGTAGCATTCGAGAGGATTTTGGACTGCAGATGGAGTGGGGAGGCGGGGAAGTTGTGTTGCATGGAAGGAAATCCCTTCTGTCCACTGAAATCTCATAACAGATCCGAATCAGTACATTCACAATGCAAAGGCCCACCTGTCCTCTCCATCACACCCCATGGGATTCAGTTCAGTCCTGCAAAATCTAACATTTATAATACTTACGCATTGCAATACGGTTTCTTCTCATACCCTTTGTAGTTGTTCATGTTCAGAGCCATTTTGCAGACTTCGCAATGGAAACATCCTTTGTGCCAGTACTGAAAAAAGAATTCTTAGTATTACACAAGGTATTACACTGCCAACATTTGCTATTTGTATAAGTCCCATTAAATCCACTGGCACTATAGAGAAATGTTACTTTATTGTGTAAGTTAAAACCTTTCGAACCTGTGCATGCCACAAATTCTATTGCAAATATTTTCCATAATGCCAGACACATGTACCTCCTATGTTATACTTTTATGAAGTTGTAAATTGTCTCAAAACTTCAGAGGTGATGAGGTAGTCAATACAATTAATAAGTGTACTCTTTTTGATTGTGGCAAACAACCATGTCTCACCCCCACCCTGGCTTACAAAAAGAAGAAAAATACCTCATAAGGAGGAGTGGACAGGGGTACTTACAGAATAATCCTTAAATAACTAGACTCGGTAACTCTAAAAAGGGACCCCTCCCACTTTCTTCCACCTGCATTCCTATAACTAAACACACCTCATCCTATGAAGCAAGCAATATAAGTGCCCTTTAATTCCCTCCCCCTTTTAATGGTTAAATCAGGCAGTTTTGTTACAGCATACACCAAGTCCTAGGAAGAGTTCCACCAGCTGGGCAACAGCCACATCCTCTCTTCATTCTGCCACACACCCTGCTTGACCCTAAGGTTGACTTTTTCAGGAGTACACACACACACACCCAAAAAAAGCCATGCCTTTGACATATTGAATGCTAGCAGGAAATCAGTGTGGTGGTGTTGTTTTTAATTCCAACAAGACCCATCCCAAGACCTGCATAGCAAACCCAGCCCGTGAAGCTCGTTTCTGTGACTAGCTACACAAGCTCTGAAGTCTCCCAGAGAGCCAACTAATCCCCTTTTTTTAGGGTGTGAGGACGCATCTGTCATAGCCTTGGTGTTTGTGGTTTCCTTCAGGCAGCCGTGCCCTGGGATCCCCAGCGGGGCGAGGGCTGCCGATGTGCCTCACCCACACACACTCACACCCACACACATACACACACACACATATACTGACTCGCCTGTCAGTCACGCCAGGCCAGCGGGCTGCTTGCCGCCGTTACGTAAGGAAGCATCTCTTCTGCACTGCAGCCCTCCTCCTCGGACTCTCCCAGGGGCCTCGTCGTCTCCCGTGCTGAGGGGGTCCCCCCGGGGATGGGAGCCGCACAGCAAGCGTCCAAGAAGGCAGCCGGACGGGCAGCCAAAGCCGGGGCTTGGGGGCCTGAAGAGGACTTAGGACCCTCCCCAAACCCAAGGGCCACCTCGGGGCTCCAAATCCCAGGCCTCCCGCCGGGGCAATGCGTCAGTCACGGGGTAACAGACTGGAGGCCGCAGGGCGAACGCCTCCGGCGCAGGCGCTCCCTGGGCCCCTGCAAGGCTTGCGCCGGTCCCCCTTTTTCCTCCAAGCCCCTGCAGCCGCAGCCCGGCTCCCGAGGCAGACGACGGCTCAGTCAGCGCCAGGCCCCTCCACACCGCTTCGCCGAGCTCTCTCGGCCACTCGCTTGTGAATCCTGGCCGCAGTGCCCTCGGCCTGCGCTGGCAGCCTCCCCCAACTCCGCTCGCTTCACCCCTTCCCTCACGCCGCCGCCTCACAACCCAGAGAGCGCGAGGCCAGCCTTTGGAGCGGGTGCCTCAATCGCAGGGCACCTCCGAGGCCCGGGAACCGGGGGGGGGGGGGGGGAGAAAAAGGGGGGCCTGGCGGGCCCCACAAACGCAATGCATCCCACCCACCACCCACCCCATGTGAGGGCAAGTGAAGAACGACGCTTGAGGGGGGCTGGCTGCGGCCGTTTCCGTCCCCCCCGCCCCCCCCCCCGCGCGCCGCCCTCCTAATCCCGACCCCCCTCAGGCGCGCACCTTATCCAGGCAGTTGACTTTCTCGGTCGGATAGACGACTTTGCCACAGCGGGCGCACTGAGGGTTCATGGTCAAGCTGCCGGCCAAGGACCCCGGCGGTAGCAGCCGCCCAGAGCCGCTCGGGCATTCCCTGCCCACCCCGCTGAGCAAGCGAGCGCGACTTTCTCGGGGACCGTAGGAGGGAAGGACGGTCAGCGGCGGAGAGAGCGCGGCTCCAGCGGGCGGAGGCGGTGGCTGCTGCTGCGACAGAAGCTCAGCAGCATGTGCAAGCGAGTGGGAGGGGAAAGGCTGACTGGAGCCTCCGCCTGCGTCTGCCTCCGCCTGGTGCTTGCGCGCTCCGTTCCTCCGCAGAGCCAGCCCCGCGCGGAAGGGCGGGCTGCTTGACTCGCGCTGCTCTCCTCGCCAAGCCAGGCCCCTCGGATCGGAGGAGCGGCGGGGAAAGCGGGCCTAAGCCCTTGTCGAGTGGAGAGGCACGGAAAACACCAAAGCGAGGAGGGGGCAAGAAAGGGCAACTCGTTCTCCTCACAAAGTGAGGGGGGATCGAGCGAGGACGAAGACAGCCCACGCGCTCCGCTCCCCTTCATGAGGAGCTGCACCCACCAACGGGCTATTTGCAGAGCCCACCCTGGAGGCGGTATTCAAGTGTTTTCCCTGGAAGGCCAGATAATGAAACTGAAGCTCAAATACTTTGGCCACCAAATGAGAAGGGAGCACTCACTGGAGAAGACCCTGATGCTGGGAAAGATTGAAGGTCAAAGAAGACGGGGACGGCAAAGGATGAGATGGTTGGACAGTGTCATCAATGCAACGAACATGAAATTGAGCCAACTTCAGAGGACGGCGGAAGACAGGAGGGCCTGGCGGGAGCTGGTCCATGGGGTCGCAAAGAGTCGGACTCGACTGTGCGACTGAACAACAACAAAAAGACAAAACAGGTCAACTCGAACGAAGTTTCAGTTCGGTGGGGTTCGTTTCTTTGGAAGGCTTTGGGGCTGCCTCAGGGTTGCCAGCCTCCAGATGGTGGCGGAAGAGCTTCTGGGATTACACTGATTACACTGATCCCCAGGAAACAGAGATCAGTTCTCCTGGAGAAAATGGCCACTTTGGAAGATGGACTCTGTGGCAGGGGTGTCAAACCTACGGCCCGTGGGTCAGAACCGGCCCATCCAGGGATCTTATCCAGCCTGCCAGCAACTGGTCATTACCTTTATTGACAGAGGATAGAGGCTGTGCATTATATCCCTGTAAACTGTCCCAGAAAGAGTGTTAATGTTTTGAGCACATTGGTATTTTGCGTAAAAATTATATTGTTAATTGGATTTGCCTGTGTCCTTTATAAAGTTTATATCTCCCGTACTTGGTATTATATTGTATGGCACACGTGGGCCGGCCCAACAAAGTGACATTTAAGTCAGATCCGGCCCTTGTAACAAATCAGTTCAACACCCCTGATCTATGGCTTTATATCCCACCCACTGAAGTCCCTCCTCTCCCCAAATCTCAGGCTCCACACACACCCCAAATCTCTAGCTTTTCCTCAGTCCAGAGCTGGCAACCCTAGGTGCCTTTTTAGTTCCCAGGTCCTGGCAACTGAAGCACCCAGGAAGGGCTTAAAGACAGCCCATCCCCTGCATGTTTGCTCAGAAGTCAATCTGGCTGAGTTCACTAGAATTGGCTGCCAAGTAAGGAGATGTATGGAGCTGCCATATGCTGCTTCTTAGGCCACCTCTTGCTGGAAGGGGGCACATCATGGGAATGCCTTTTGAAAGAAGAAGAAGAAGAAGCCTTCCATAATGTAAATTACATTGAACTCAATAAGATTTGCTTCTGCCCTGACTTGGATTGTCCAGGCAAGCCGGATCTCATCAGATCTCGGAAGCTAAGCAGGGCCAACCCTGGCAAGTACTTGGATGGGAGACCTCCAAGGAATACCAAGGCCGAAATGCAGAGGCAGGCAATAGTAAGCTACCTCTCTGAAAAACATCCTACCCCCACTAGGGGTCGCCAGAAGTCAACCATGACTTCCAGGCACACACACAAAATACTCACCAAAATAATAATAATATTTGCTTCTAAGCACTGGATTAGGGTTGGACAGAAAATTCCACCATGGTATTAAGAACCTCACCTCCAACATGGTGGCCCTGATTAAGCACAAAGGCAAGATATCAATGTTATAAATAAACTAGGAGGCAGGCTCATTATAGGAGACAGACAACGGGCGCTAGGAAGACGTGAGAGGCCCCCGCACCCCCGCCTCGCACGGCCCAGCGTGACCCTGGGGGCCGTGGCAGCACAGCAGCGGCTGTCGGGTCGCAGGGCAGTCAGGCGCAGTTGCTGTGGGCTGCCAATGGCTGAGGCGGTGGGAGGAGCCGCATTGGACTGACGGCTCTCTGCGTGGCACGCAGCAGTTGGGCTGGATGTTGCCGCTGAGAAGAAGGAAGCCCATCCCCCTGCCTTGGCCCCCCTGGTGACAGGCGAGGCTCGAGGGATGACGGAAGGGGGCGGCAGGGGCTGCCTGGCTGGCCAGGCACTGGCAGTGTGGGGGCATTTCTAGCGGTCTCTGCACTGGCGGCGCACTGGCCCCCGTGCACTGACAGGCCGGGTGGCGAGGTGGATTAGGGTTAGGGGCAACAGCGGGAGGATCACCCTGCGGTCCCCGGCTTCCCCCCCCTTGGACTCCAGGGTGGAGGGGCGAGGGAATGGGGTGCCACTAGCTCCCTGGCCGCCGGGGTGCCAGCATCTCATGGGCTGCCAGCTTCAGCCCAGCAACCCCTGCCCAGTGGCAGAGCGCCCAGCTACCTGGAGGCTGTGTGGGGTGATGACGAATACTGTGGCAGCACCAGAATTGACCTGGGGCTCGCACACGTCCCAGTGCCGGAGCATCCATCCCACCCGGCGGCTCCACGCAGACTGAGGGTGAAAGACTGCCTGGCAAGTCTGTGGGTGGGGCTGAGGCGACGGAGGGAGGCAATCCAGCCATGGGATTGGCCCCCCACTGAGGGACAGGTCAGGGACCCAAAGGCTAGGGAGGTGTGTGGAACGTTCAGGAGAGAGTCACACCAAAATGCTTTTATATATAAGGAGAGATAACCTGAGAATGGTCTCAATTAGGACTTTTTAGCTCAAATTTGTAATGCTGGGTCATTCTGTGCAGTTTTTCATAATAGCCTTCATAGCAGGGAGGGTTAAAAGAACCAGAGGCTGCAGTTTGAATCTGGACCAAGAGACAAGGTATTTAAGCAAGACTGGAAGTAGACTTGGGGAAGCAGCTAATATTTGGGATCCGGTACTTCAACTGCAGCTACCTACTTTAGTTAGGATCCTGTTTAGTGTAGTGGTTAAGTTTGCAGACTCTAATCTGGGAGAACCAGGTTTGATTCCCCACTCCTCCACTTGCACCTGCTGGATGACCTTGGGCAAACCATCGTTCTGACAAGAGCTGTCCTTGAAAAAGAGCAGTTTCTGTCATTAGCTCTCTCAGCCCCACCTAACTCACAGGGTGTCTGTTATGGGGAGGGAAAAGAGTTTGTAAGCCACTCTGAGACTCCGAGTGAAGGGTGAGGTATAAATCCAGTCTCTTCTTCTTCTTCTTCTTCTTCTTCTTCCAGTATGCTCTCCATTTATCTTTTGTAGGCAGTGTTCTGGGCAGTGTTCCCTCTAAGCTGAGTTAGTGTGAGCTAGCTCACAGTTTTTTAGCCTCCGGCTCAGACATTTTGGTCTTAGCTCAGGAAGGATGGCTCCAGACCAAACTAATGTAATGCAGTAGCCAAATCGCTCGCTCACAACTTTAATGCCAGTAGCTCACAAAGTAGAATTTTTGCTCACAACACTCCACAGCTTAGAGGGAACTTTGCCTCTGGTGACAGCTTCACTTATTGGACGAAGTCCTACTTGGAGTGCCATTGTGACAGACTTCATTTAAAATGATGTTTTACTCCTACTCCTCATCATCATAATTATTATTATTATTTCAATTTCTGAATCGCATCATCCCTGTAAAAACAGGGCTGTGGGCAATATATATCAATAATAAAAATCATACAACAATCCATATATTCAGTTAAACATGTAATTAAAAGCCTAAACTCCAAAATGGTTTCCTAATAAATCTTATTCCTATACTGGACTGCACCGCCACCCCATGGGCAGGGCAGGAGGAGAAAAACAGATGAAACAAGGAGAAAGAGGGAGGGGGCCAGCAATGGTTATAACGTCGCTGTCCTCAACCAAAAGCCCAGTGGAACATCTCTGCCTTACAGGCCCTGCAGAATTGCATTAAATCTCACGGGTCCCTGATGTTGTTCAGCAGAAAGTTCCACCAGGTTGGGGCCAGGACTGAGAAGGCCCTGGCCTTAGTCAAAAACAGCCAGGACATTTTGGAGCCAGGGATCACCAGCAAATTATTCTCTGCCAATCAGAGTGCTCTCCTGGGGGCATGAGGAGGCGGTCCCAAAGGTGCGTGGGTCCCTGACTGCTGATGGCCTCAAAAGTCAATACTAAAACCTTGAACCTGATTTGGTACTCCACTGGGAGTCATGCGCTGCTGCATTCTGGACCAGCTGGAGCTTCTGAGTCAGTCTCAATGGCAGGCCACGGTACAGCGAGTTACAGTAGTTTAGCCTGGATATGACCAGTGCATGGATTACTGTGGCTACATGAAGAGGGCTAATTGCTGTGCTTGGCATAGATGAAAAACATCAGCCTGGCAAGATCTGTGACCTGAGCCTCGTGTGTTAGGAAGGCATCTATAGTCATGCCCATACTCCTTATGGCACCCTGTCAAGAGTGGGAAGTCTGAGCACCAACCCTGAAGCCCCCTCCCAGCCACAGAACCTCCGTTTTTTGTTGGATTCCACCTGAGCCTGCTCTTCTTTAGCCACCCCACTACGACCTTCAAGCCTGTAGCCAGATTTTGCAGGGTGGTATCTGGATGGCTGTCCAGTAGCAGATATAGCTGGATGTCAGCTGCATACTGATGGCACCCAAGCCCAAAACACAAAGCCAGCTGGGCAAGTGGGTGCATATATGCAGTAAAATCAGAGAAGGGAGGTGGATAGTTAACTCTGGTCTAGAATACTGAACTTGAGTAACAGGCTACTCCTTTTTTTTTTAATTGGCCAGCACCAACTGAGGGAATATAAAATCAGCTGTGTGCTGTGAGGGGTAGTTCGTTTTGAGTTCAGTGGCAGTTACTGTTCAGTAAAGAAAAAATTCAGCCAAAGAGTGGGTGTCTGAAGAGTCAAAGTAT